AGTCGACTTGAAGTTGACTTGTAAAGTCGACGTTTAGCCAACTGTTTCTGTAATGTTTCTGTAATTTTTGTCGACTTTATTTGTCTTACAATAAGTCTTACAATAAGTCGACTTAAAGTCAACTATTTCCGAGGATATTAAAGTCGACTTTTTATCGAGACTTTTAATCGAGTAATATTGTCAAATTTATGTTCATTTTTAATTATACAAATGCGTTATTAAACTATAAGAATTCTAATTTGTTATTTATATTTGACGCCAAGTCAATATTGCGAGCGTTAAGTGAAACGCACTAAATTAAGCGCTAGTATACTTCTTTCAGAATTTATTCGATTTCTATTCGGCGTTCACATTAGATTATGTTGCAACGCAACGCGCGATATTAATAAAACGTGACTCGATGTGACCAGCGATATAATCCAAAGTAATTCTTTTTTTTCTTGCTATTATTAATAAAAACTATAAAATAAATTTAAAAAATGTTACTAAAAATTTAAAAAATATTTTTTATATATTTGCTAATTTCTTGAAAAATTAGTGCCTTTCAAAATTTGAGGTTACATTGTAAAAATTGTAAAATTAATAAAGTAATATTATCTTTTTTGTTACTTTTTGATGAACGTTGTTATAAATTAATATTACAATTTTATGTTCTTTTCATATCTATGTAAAAAAATATTTGCTATTTAACTTTCAATCTGCTTTTATGGAACAGATTCAAACAATTAACGATTTTCTGCTCTGGTGCCTGCGCTGTCTTCTCTGTCTTCTCTATTCAGAGGTAAGTACTTTTATAAATTAACACTACAATTTCATGTTCTTTTCATCTATGTAAAAAGTCTGCTATTTAATTTTCAATTTGCTTTTACAGGACAGATTCGAAGGAGCAATTGCGATTTTCTGTTCTCTGGTGCCTGCGCTATCTTCTCTGTCTTCTCTATTCAGAGATAAGTTCTTTCATAAATTAATACTACAATTTTATGTTTTTTTATATCTACGTAAAAAAATATTTGCTATTTATTTTTTATCTGCTTTTACAGAACAGATTTGAAGGAACGATTGCGATTTTCTGCTTTCTAGTTCCTGCGCTGTTTTCTCTGTCTATTTGAAAGTTTCATAATGTAAAAGTTTATGTTCGTGTTGACATTTGAAACGTTTTATATTTTATAATAAAAAGCTTTGTAAAAAGAATTTCATTTAATTTTTTATTATATAATACCACTATTAATACTGCTATGAATATTGCCTAAAAGTTGACTTTAACTAATAGTCGACTTATTGTCGGGCAAAAGTCAGTCTATTCGCCATAACTAAATAAAAAATATCAGCTTGTAGTTGTCATAAAGTCAACCTTAAGTCGACTGATATGAGTGACTTATAGCCAACTATGGTTGGGACATTTATCGACTAATCGTCGGCTATAAGTTGACATTCAGTCTAACTTTAAAGTCGATTTTAGACTTCTTCTGCCGACTTATAGTCGACTAACAGTCGACTTTGTGTTGTTTGGGTAATTCTAAGGTTACACGTTTCGTAGGCTTGCTCTGTTTTTTTTTCCTCAATATGAATATTGTTACGCTTATTATTATTCCTCTAATAACTAACATTAGTAAGCCCGCTAGATGCCATTGGATAAATAAAGAATTTTGATAAAATAAACTCTCGTTTTTAGCAAGATCATCATTTACTTTATTTAATTTTATTTGTAAATTATTTAATTCCGAAGAATTTTGAATAATCTTTTGTATTTTTATTGGTGTTACATTATTATGTATTACTTTCGAAAACTTTGATTTATTCTATAATAATGAAATATTATTCTATAATAATGAAATATTATATTGTAGCAAATATAATTCTATTTTCGCTTCATGCGATATTTTTTGCGATTTTACTATAGTATCTGGTTATTACTTTGCAATTTTCTAATGTGATTTTGCCTGTGTTCTCAATCGTTTTTTTTATTTCTCCATGGTCTTTACATTGAATAATAATTATTTGCTTTGTCGCTGAAGAATATAATCATAAATGGAAATTGCTTAATGTTATCCATATAGTATTGTTTGATATAATGTTTTTTACATTACAATTTTTATGTTTTTTAGTTTTCAAATAAATTTCAATTTCGTAAATTGGATCGGCATTGACACGATATATAGGAGAATTTCGCATAAATATTCGTCGTAGATTTTGATACATTTTTGTAATTCGCTCCGCGTGTGTTACATAAGTATGTCCTTCCGTGTTTAATA